GGTTGGCCTGGAACTCTTTATATAGACCAGGCTAACCTCAAACTCACAGAGATCTGCCTGTCTCTACCTCATACCTACTGGGATTAAATATTTGCTTTTAACATACTATACCTGACAAGCAAGTGCTTTTTACTGCTGAGCCACCTCTCTAGCCCACACCTCCTTGATTCTGGGGTTTGTATACATGGGGTGTATACAAGTGCTGCAGTGCAGGGTCTCAAACTTTCTGTATTGTCACTGAACCATACTCCTATACTGTGCTTCATTAGCATTAACTTATAGTTACATAAAGTCAGGAGAAATACATAATGTTATTAGAAAAGCATGGATTTTAAATATTCAGAGTATCAGTTCTCCAAGGGCATATTACATGTGTCTAAGCACTATCCAGTCCCAGTCGTTAGCGAGGGACTTTGCTTTCCGAGACATGTTAGCCATGTCTCTATCATTCTGCTCAAAAGATAGTAGAAGGGGAGTGGTTGGAGTTGATAGAGTAGAAGTTTTTGAGTAGAAGTTGAGTAGAACAAAACTTATGCAACCCAATAGTCTTAGTCATTCAAGAACCTACTTTAGAAAAGCAGGGGTTAATAGGGACAGAAGTCAAATTCACATGATTGTCTCTTTAGCAGTAGATTTTGGGAGCTGAGGAAAAGAAAGGTAAAACACACTAAGTTTATTAGACTCCATTTTTATGTACTCTGAACCAGTAGTCACTTGTCCTAGTTTAGTTTCTATTGTTGTGATAAAATCATAACCAAAAGCAGTGTGGGAAAGGAAAGGGTTTACTTGGCTTACAGTCCACCACTGAAGGAAGCCAAAGCTCTGGTATGCTGGAGGCAGGAACTGAAGCAGAGAGCACTAGGGAATACTACTTACTGGCTTGCTTCCTTGCTCACTGTCAGTATCTTACTTTCACAGCCTAGGATTACCTGCCCAAGGGCAGTACCGCCCACAGTGGGCTGGGCTCTCCTATGTGAATTGTCTGATCAAGGAAATGCTCTGATCAAGGAAATGCTCTACAGGCTTGGGGACAGTTTCTCAATTGTGGTGCCCTCTTCTCAAGTGTTCTGACAGCCAAAGTTAGCCATCACATTTGCCATTTAAAGATCCTTTTCCTGAGGGAGGAGCAGCCCTGCTAAGGAGTACTTTGCAACCAGTCCTGATGAAAGGGGAGGAAGTCCTCTCCTATCAGTGGACTTGGAAAGGGGCAGGGAGGAGATGAGGGAGGGAGAGTGGGATTAGGAGGGAGTGAGAGAGCGGGACACAACTGGGATACAAAGTTAATAAACTAACTAATATTAAAAAAATAAAGTACATCCATAATGTACATGTTACTTGTATATCCCTATTGAAATGATAGTCTTGGTTATTTAGTATCACAGTGTTTATGCTTGAACAACTCGAATTTTAACTATTAGTGCCTCCCAACTTTTGTCACAATTTATTAATGCAGTTTATACATTACTAGTTATTGATATACCTTAATGTGTAAAATTCATAAAGTAATTATTACCACAGCTTTGTGTGTGTGAAAAAATAAACAAGGCATAACATTTTTTATGGAATCAGAAAAAAAAATAGTTGGGCTGTAGCCTCCTCTGAATATTGTTGGCACAGCAGTTGATATCAGTGGAAAGGTTAGGGTTTCTTTGTATTGCATGCAAACTCCTCAGTAATAAAAGAAAACATGGAAGGGACAAATACAGGGAGAATGTAAGATTAGTGGTTACTATCACACCTGCCTGCAATCCCAGCACTCAGGAAGTAAAGGCTGGAGGATCATGAGTTTAAGGCCAGTCTCTTCCATACCACATATTGAGTTTGCCTGAGCTGCATGAGTCTCTGATTTAAAAAAAAAAAAAAATAGTGGTGAGTTCTGGAGAACGAGAGAGAATTCTAGTATTACTTTTAACAAATTGTTTCACACGAAGACTGATGTAAATATTACAGAACGTTTGGATTCTTCAAATCTTGGTAAGAAAGTAATTAATTATATTGGGTGTGTATTTAGCAGTGAATGTTGGGAAGATATGTCAGAAGTTACTACCAGAAGTTGAAAAAGGATGCATTTATATTTAATTTTATCCATTTGTGTGTGTGGAGACCCAACATGTCAGCTGTCTTTCTCAGTTGCTCTTCATCTGATCTGGGGGGATGGTCTTCCATCAAGCCTGCTCGGTGCTCAGTATTCTAGCTAGACAGGTTCACCAGCAAACTCAGGGATACTCTTGTCTCCATGTGTGCTTGGGTCACAGGTGCACAGTGCTACCCTGCTCCCTCCCTATCCCCTTTTCAACTGTCTTCAAGCTTGCATATATTCATAGCAAGCACTTTACTAGTTGAGCCATCTCCCAGCCCTGTGATAGAATGATACAATACTTCTTAGATTAATGACTGGAAACCTGGCTTTTCTTTTCAGTTCCCTCCCTTTTTAAGTGTATTGCTGAGGATCAAAGCCAGGACCTCAGGCATGCTAGGCAAGCGTTCTTCTGTTGAGCATAGCCCTACCCCCAACTGCTCTCATAATCAACTTTAAATCTCTACTGTCAGTAAATCTTCTGCTATTAGTGTATATATTTTCTGTATTTGAACCTATTCATTCTTAGGACCACAACTACTATATGATCTAATGGTATCAAAAGCAAATTTTTAGATGAATCTAAAAGTAAAGATCTCCCTCGTATTTCTAAGTTACATGACTAAAATTAAAATAACTTCTTTTTCCAGGAGCTGAAGGGATTGCTCAGTGGTTAAGAGTGCTTCCTGCAGTTGTAGAGGGTGCTAGTTCATTTCCAAGTACATACCGGACAGCCTACAACTGTCTCTCACTCCAATTCCAAAGGACTTTTTCTGTCCTCCAGTGGCTCCTATATGTGCTCAGTTCACACATACTCACATATAAAGGTTAAAAGTAAATAAATACATGTCCAGATTCCAGGGGGCTGTGTCTATAAACTCCCTGGTAGAGCTCTTACCTAGCATGTATAATACCTCTTAGATCAGTCCTCAGTACTGCAACAAACAAACAAAATTCAAAATTTCAACATACTGAAGAATCTTCAGGGCAAAGTGTGATTGTGCCTATAATCCTCGAACTCAGGAAGCTGCAATAGGAAGACTGAGTTGAGGTTGTTGTGGGCTACAGCAAGACCCTATCTCAAAAATGAAATGACAAATTGAAATGAAAAATGTAAGAATTATTACCCAGTTTACTCACTTGGACATCACCTTAGCTTAGCTAAGTGAATAAAAGGACTTCAAAGTATGTACAGAATATAGGCAGTCACAGGTTTTAAATATCACTAAAATGTAAACCCAGAGCGGGAACTCATTTTTAAAACCGTATCTATATTATGTCTTTGTTTTGACATGGAAATTCTGGAACCATGTGAGAACCAATTCAAGAACTAAGAAAGGGCTGAGGTGCAGTTCAGTGGTTGTGCACTTGTTAAGCATGCTGAGTCCACACCCCCTCCTTTTGATACCCTGCAGCGCAAAACATTAAAGAATGACACAAAGAATTAAGATACTGCTTTGCGCTCAGTGGATCTGCTGGTGTGGTGCACCATTTCCAAGTAGGGAAGGCTACTTCTGAGAGCCATTGCTTTAACACAGCACCCTGCCCCACCCACGGTGGCATTCAGTTAATGAATGACTATCGGATTGCCATGGTGACTTTTTATGCATTTCCTTGCCCGGTAGTTCTTGAAGCAGCACAAAATAACTGTCTTGGTGCTGCCAGGGCTTGAAAAAATGCAAACAACAAAGCAACAGGAATGAAAAATAAAATCTTTACAAAATGGGGTCAGAAGCATCAGAGCTTTTCCCTTTTCATAGTAGCAGAAATTGCTCTTTAATTTTAATTTGTTTGTGTGTGTGTGTTTGTGTGCACCCATATGCTCTGCTAGGAGTTTAAGGACCTGTATGCTGAGCAAACTTGTACTGCTAAGTTATATCCCCAGCCTGGTTCCGGTTAAAATTTTCACCTTAAATAAATAAATAAATATGTTAATTCCTTGTCCCTTATTTACTGCTTCTCTCCCTCCCCGCCCCTGCTTTACTAAGGAATTGTGTTCACAGATCTTTCAGAGATTAGAAAGGGAAAATTCTTCTGTCTGTCCCCAGCAAACAACAACAAACTCACCTAAATGTCAGAAGTGCTTTTCAAGTTACCTTCATTTTTTCCCAGACATGTACAGTTTTTGTCCTTGCTGGGATATGTAACTTTCACACTAAGAAATAATTAAAAGATGTCCTTGGGATGATGTCAGATATATAGTGTCATGAAGAGCTCTGATTACACTATAGTTTTAGAATTAGAGTGATTTGACTTTTACAACCCATTAATAGTTCTTCATAACACTTCTTCATGTATTATCTAACGTGCTTTTATTTCTTTATTTCTACTGGGTCTTGAAGTGTTGTCGAAGTTGGCCTAGAACCCACCATCCTTTTGCCTCAAGTCTTCTGAGTGTTGGAATTACGTTTCTATACAACTTCCCTGGGCTTCTTGTGATATGCTTAGGTGGTTTGTTGTTGTTGTTTGTTTGTTTTTGTAGGATATGACATTTGCATGTTGAACCTTTCATGCTGTTCATTTGGTTGGTTGGTTGGTTGGTTGGTTGGTTGGTTGGTTGGTTGGTTGGTTGGTTGGTTGATTGGTTGGTTGATACAGGAGTCTCACTCACTATGTAACCCTGGCTGGCCTAGAACTCACTGTGTATACCAGGCTGGCCTCAATCTCATAAGGATCTGTTTATCTCTACAAGTGCTAAGAGTAAAGGTGTGTGTCCCCCAACCCCATTCATGATTTCTCTCAGCTACTTTTGTATCATGATTTATCATTTAATTCCCTGTGTTTGCCTCTGAGGTATTATACAGTGTGAATTGTGTGTTAATAGGAAACATAAGGACCAGGGCTGAAGTGCATGTCTAGCCAGCTCATAGCTGATCCCCTGTTTTGTGAATTCATGCTTTCTCAATGCACTGTTTATCCTCAGGATGAAGACACTGGAATGAAAAGCAAAGTCTATCATATTGCCAAGGAGATCATGAGCTCAGAGAAAGTGTAGGTATCAACTTAACCATTCAGAAGACTGTTCTTCCCCAGTTGGCTTATTAAAAAAATGTATTGCTTTTTTTTTTTTTTACAGGTTTGTGGATGTGTTAAAACTTTTGCATATTGTAAGTATCTGCTAATATTTTTCTCTAATCTAAGATTATCCTTGGTCCTGTTCCTTTTCCTACCCTAAAGATTCTTAGCAGAGCTAACAAGTAAATTATACATATATGCTCTCTAGTGCTTGGTTATATTTTAAATTTGTAATAAAATATTATATACTTCTAAATTAAATATGTATTTATAAATTATATGTATATATAATAGACACTTTTTAAAATGTCTGTATTCTATGCACATGTAGATATACGTGGGTGATTTCTGAAAATGTCATCAGCACCTTCCATTTCTTCATAATAAATGAGCTGTGATATCTGCTGCTATTGCTTCTTCCTTCTCATCCTCTTCCTCTTTCTTTTCCTCTTGCCCCTTTTCCTATGTTTTCCTTCTCCTTTTTGTCCTCTTCCTCTTCTTCTTTTTCTTTTTCAAACCAGGCAGTGTATCTTTAGTGGTATTTCTTTAATATTCTTAATAGCTCCCAGAAATAGAGACACGAGACATTTTTACAGCTAACTTTTTTAAAAAAAATAATTGTCAACTTTAACTGACCTATTAGGAAACAACTGTATGTATCTGACCACGTACTCATTTTTTCCTCTTGTACTCATCTATCTATCTATCTACCTACCTACCTACCTACCTACCTACCTACCTACCTACCTACGTACCTATGAAACAGGGTTTCTCTGTGTAGCCTTGGCTGTCCTGGACTCGTTTTGTAAACCAGGCTGGACTCTAATTTACAGAGATCTGCCAGCCTCTGCCTTCCCCTCTTGCACTTTTTTGTTCTTGCAAGTTTTTACAAGACTCGTTGTGCACTAGCAGTTAAAGTTATTTTAGTATTACTTCATTTTGATTATATGTTGGCAGGATATCCCAAATATCCCAAACATCTCTTACATGTGTGTCACTAAGTGCTCAAGTCGAATAGTTCTTTTAGCTAGTCTGTTTCTGCCTGCTTGCCTCTCTGTCTCTTTCTGTCTGTTGCTCCTCCCTTCCTCTCCTCCCCCTTTAGCCCTCTAGCCTTTTCCCTCTCTCACTCTTATCCTCTTTCACCATCTCAGTCTTTCTCCTGCCTTCTCTTTTGAAATAGAATCTCACTTCAGCCCATCCCTGCCTCAGAGGTGTAGTCATCCTCCTGCCTCAGACTCCACGGTGTCAGTTACAGTTTTGTGCCACACACTGGACAGCAATCTGATAGAACATTCTACTTTTATTTTGTTGAGCTAAAACACTGTGACCAAAAGCAACACTTCCAGTTTAAAATTCATCATTGATGGAAGTCAGGGAAGGAGCTCCAGGCAGGACCAATGGAGGAACATTGTTTACTTGCTTGTTGTTTAGCTCATGCTCAACTGGCTTTCTTATGCAGCCCATGCCCACCTGCCAAGGGATGGTGCTGCCCCGTGGTGGGCTGTCAGTCAGTCATTAGTCAAGACAGCCTCTTATGGACATGGTGACAGGCCACGTGATCTGGCAGCTTCCTCTTCCTCGGTGACTCTAGATTTTGTCAAGCTGACAACCAAGCTAACTGGCACACAGACTCTCAGTATACCTAGAAAGCTAAAACCAAGGTCACCTGGGCCTACAGATACCTTAATACCCAATGGAATGTGTTATTTCTTTTTCTAAGTGCAATATAAAATGAGTAGGTTTCCCAGTTCTTGTGTTTTTACTATTCTAGAAATGTCATTCTGCCCCAAGTACACGTGTCTTGTGAGTCATGTGAACTTCTTCAATTATCATTTACATTGTCCTCTCTCTAGCTTCTGTTAGCATAGATACCAGCTTCATTTTTAAGCAGTTCCGTTTATATTAAGACTTCTAGTTGATTACTAAAAGCTCATTTGTCTTGCTTCTGTCTTCCCTACCTTGGTTTGGCATCTCCTCTCTATGGCTGTATTGCAGATCTTGGCATCTCAGCCTCCAAAGTGATGGTCATATGATTATTAAAATTTTTGAAATCTTTTTAAATAAATGGCCTTCTAATGAGCATTCTTTATGTACCTTTTAGTATATTATATAACTATATTATACAAATGATTTATTTTAGCCTTGTAACAGATGTAAAAAATAATGTTTTCTTTTATTTTTTCCAAATGATGATAGTAACCTGCTAATAAATGCTACTAAATGTCAGAGCTAGACTTTGAAGTCTGCTCTATTGTGTTCTTAGTGCAGAAATTTGAAATGTTTACCTGTAGTCATAACCGTTGCTACTTATAGTGCATCTGTAGGATGTAGTGTGTCCTTGGACATATTTATTGCTTACAGAATTCTTTTTAGCTCCTTGAGAAACCAGGGAAACTCTAGTTTTTCCTCTTCTAAAGATGAAAATGAAGCTGTATTTTGTTACTTAGATTTCTTATGAACATTATATAGCAATGTTATTAAAGAGTTGAAAATGTTCTATAAACAGTTGGTTTCAATATGTTTTGCATTGAATGCTCTGATAATTTTGCACATCCTGCCTTGTTGCATATAGATAAGGAAGGATCATTTAACCTGCAAAAATATTTTCATTTTAAAAATAAAGTCAGCAAAGCACAATATCATCCCAGCACTGGGAGGTTGAGGCATGAAGGGTGTGAGTTAAAGGCCACCCTGAGTCATGTGACAAGACATTGCCTCAACAGACAAGTCAGAACCAAAGTCAAGTTGTTGAGATGGGAATTCCCCCTTTACTTTTACTTCACAGTCTCTCTTTATTTTTGTGTATTTGTAACAGAGCACTACAGCTGCTCTGCTTTGCTGTAAGCCATTTTTTCTCACTGAGAGCTCCCTGTCTGTCCATGTGGATTCTGTAATTCACAGGCTCATGATCGTGGTTAAACAGTGCCCCAAGGTCAAGCAGGCTGCTTGGAACAGCTGGTAATTAAGCCACACACTGCTCTCGGGGTCTGGAGATAGAGAGCTTGACTTTATAGGCCAGGCCATCTGTTTTGCGCTTCAGTGTCTCAGATGTTCAGACTTGATCTTATTCACATGGGTCTTTTGCTTGGGTCTTCCCCAAGTGATCAGAGTTGGCAGAGTGAGCACATTGATACTGTAAAGGACTGAAATTGTTCTGGTTCTTATTTATGGGCCATTGCGGTGGGAGGAAATGTTAAGACTAATACTGTGATGTGCTCTATTATTTAGAGGCTCCTTTCGATCTTTAAAAGTTCTAACTTGAACAAGCTGTTAGTGAATGTGATCATAGGTGATTTGACTTTGCATACAGAACCTTTGTTTGGTTTTTATTAGAATTAGTGTTGTGTGTAATTGGTGTTAGTAATAGCTGTAGTGCCTAATTCTTTGTGCCATCTCCCCTCCACCTCTATTTTAATTAGTGCAATGTCCTTCTCTCCCTGCCCTACTCTCCTTTCCAGTGCTGGTTTTCAAACCCAAGGGCCTCACACAACCTACACTAGTGCTCTTCCACTGGGCCACACTGCCAAGCTTGTTACCCAGCTTTCCTGGGGTGTAGGAGGAAGCTCTAGGTCTCATTGCTGAAGTACACATTCTGATCACCCATATCTATCTGCATTGCTATAGTTAAGGGAGTTTTGGTGAATTTAGATGCTTCTGCCCGAAATAGTTTTGTAGCAGATTGTCATACTTTCCCAAATTATCCTGGCTCTTGGGATTTAGAAAAATAACCTGGCATACGTTGTAATCTTTTTTTATTAAAAAACAAAAACAATGTTGTGACTGCCTTCCAGTGGTACCACTTTGGTAGTGGCTAAGGTTCGTGAGTAGATGAGAAGTTTATCTGTGTAGTTCATATGGAATTAGTTGTATCTGGCTCTGGGGTCAGAGTGTATTGTTTTTGGGAGAAGTGAAGGAACACAGTTGAAGTTGCCCTTCCGTGTGCAGTTTTGGAGTCTGTTAATATACATGTTAGAGCTTTGGTATTCATTGTCTTAGCCTGGAGGCCCCTGGATGCTCTTTTTGAGCTGGGGTGTTTAGGATTTAAGCTAGGATTTTGTGTGCTGAGCACATGCTCTATACTAAGCCACATTCCCAGCCAGGGACAATCTTTTTTTTTTTTTTTTAATGTCCAAAAAACCAGTGGTAGCCCCTGGTGAAAATAATTATTAAGTGTCATTTTAAAAAAAACTTTTGCTTTCTTAAAAATTTTGTTTTGTTTTTGTGTATGTGTATTTTGAGACAAGGTTTTTTGTTGTTTGTTTGTTTGTTTGTTTTTACTAATGTAGCTCTGGCTGTCCTGGAACTCAGTATGTAGATCAGGAAGGTCTCACTCAGAAATCCACTTGCCTCTCCCTCTCAAGCGCTGGGATCAGTATTGACCACCATACCTTTTTGTTTGTTTGTTTTGTTTTTTAATTAATTTTTTAAACGTATAATAAAATAGACTTTATTCAGCACCTGTGCTGTTGAAGGGATTTTGCAGTGACAAAGAGATTGGGCTCAACTTTGAATACAGAGCAAAGTGAGTTTCAGTGAGTAAAAGATCCCCAAGGGAAGAAGGCGTAAGCCCAGGAGGGGGTGATCTGCTATTATGTGGGAGTTGGTGGAAGGTGAGGCACAGGGTCAGATACTGGAGGTGGTTCTTAGTAAAGCTAGTGTGTATACAGAAGTGCTTCAGCTGACCACTGGTACAGCAGAGAATCACTGTCAAGTGCCTGCTTAGAACATGTAAGGGGTCTTGCAGGCCCAAACTCTTGAAATTCCTATAGTCTTTATTAAGTGTTCTTTTTTTGAAACAGGGTCTTGCTATGTAGCTCAGTGTAGCCTCAACATACACCAATCCTTCTGCCTTAGCCCCTCCCCAGCCCAACCTAAAAGTGCTGGGTTTAAGCAGGTGCATATGCCACTGTACCAGTCTTTCTTTGGTTCTCTTTTAACTTTCTATTTTGTTCTTGAGCTACTACCATAATTTTCATTCATCTAAAGGTGTCCCAAGAATACAGTACTCTTAGAAAAAAATCAAGCCTTGCTGCATATGTGGCAAGAGCACCCATTCAGAGATGGCCATGTCATTGGTCAGCCCACTTTGGATTTGACTGCTCTTTGTTAAATGTGTCTTAAATAAGCAAGTTTCAGTTTTAGCAGAGGTGGAAGATATGGAATGCAAAGTCTGGCCGAAGCTCTGTCAGACTGGTTCTTAAGTTTTTTAGCAGGCAGCATCCACTGTCACTGTCATGGTGAGGAAATGCCTTCCAGTTGAAAAACAAAAGTTATTCTGCTGCCAGGGAACCAGCACAGTCATCACTTAATTCTGCAAGAAGAAAGGAGCATGCTTGTTGCTCAGCCGAGCAGGAACTTCTGCATCTGAATTGTATTCATTTCTAAACTAGTAGAAAAGCATGTAGCTGCTTATCTACCGAGCTTTGAATGTATTCACAGTTTGGGGTGTGATGAATAAATGTGTTTTGTAGCGTTCCTTGATAGTAGACAACGTAATGACTGCCAGTAGAGTTACATAGCTGCATTTCCTCCTAGGGGATGCCAGGGCTAATCGGGACAATCTGCAGGAGATGGAGTCTGGCTGCTCTCAGTGTGGCTTCTGGAGAGGCTTGTGAGGTTTTCTAAACTGGAGCTTTTGCAAGCTAAATTCTTGTTTGATATTTTGAAAATTAGTTATGTGAGTTAGTTTTTCATTTGTTATGTAGATGGGTGTTTCTTTAGTCACATTAGTAACTAATCGGGCAATAAAAATGACCCCAGGTTCTGCTTTCAGAAAATGTCTTTTATCATTTGTTAAGAAAGTGAGGTGGCTGGCCATGTAGCTCTGCTGTAGAGTTCTTGCCTACTAGCATTCAGGAAACCCTGGGTTCAGTTTTTAGCACCTAATAAACCAAGTATGGTGGTATAGACCTGTTAGTCCAGTGTTTGGGAGGCAGAAGCGGGCGGATCAGAGGTTCAAGGCTATCTTTGACTACATAACAACGTAGAGGCCATACCAGTACATCTATAATTGCAGTCATCCAGAGGCTGAGGGTTGTGAATTCCTGAGGCTAGCCTGGTCTCATCAAGACTGTCTCAAAACAAATAAAGAGAACATTTAAGAGAGTGGAGAGTATAGTTCGGTGTCTGCGTTAGAATTCTGGAGACTTAATTACTATCTCTGCAAAGAAACATAACTAGAGTTCTAGGTAGGAAACATTTCTTTTCTTCTAGGGTATATTTGAGGTTTTTTGAATTTGGTGTTTATTTGTTTTCCTCCCCCTGCCTTTTTAATTTGTCCTGTAGAAGTAAGAAATATTCTTAATTAACTTATATTTTAGGAACAAGTGTTGAAAGGATCAACAGAGGAAAGGCTATCCCTTTCAAAGAGAAAGCCTAGCGAGCTTCTTCAGGATTTGTAATCAAATTGTTAGGAGAAGGAGTGGGCCTTTGTTTTGGAGTCTTAGACAGCTGGGAGATTCTACTATTGTTTAACGTAGATTTTGAGGCCTGCCCTCAGAGGACAGTGAAGCCTGGGCAAATACTTATCTCCTCCCCCACCCTTTCCTCCTCCTCTGCAGTGATAGGGTGTGGTGGTGGTGACCTATATAAAAACATGGCACTAGTAGTCTTAGAAAGAGCAGACGATGAAAAATACATGATCTATTTTTAAAGTGTAAATGGTGAGTCTGAAGCAGAAGGTGAGTCCCAGATTAAAGGTCTGTCTTCCACCTCAAGTTCCAGATTAGAGGTGGATCTTTATACTGCAAAGTAAGCAAAGGCTCTTACTGGCATGCACTCCAATTTTGGATATTAGTTAATTCCATATGTGTACAACCAAAATAGCTATCACAGTTTAGAAAAATGAAAAGTATTAGGTTCTTCCCTATGGCCTATGGCCTCTCCAGTCACAGTAGGTTTATACACCACCAGATGTGCATTTATTCACATTGAACAGGCCTTAGTCTAATTAGACAGTTGTTGGTCACCTGCAAAGTAAAAATGCCAGGATCGCATTGGGGTTACCTTACCTAGCCTGTCATTGTTGTAGTATGTAGGCTTTTCATCTGTGTCAGGCAATTGTTTTTCTCTCTTGGCAATTTGCATAGCACTTTCAGATAGGGGGAGATCTAGTCTTCAGGAGGGAGGCTTCCAATCAATTCCAGCTCCAATTTCTGTGTCCAGAGTGTGTGGCATCTTCAGTAATAGGGTCTTAACTTCTAGTTCTAGAAGGAAACTAAGGGTAATTGCAACAGTCAATTTTGTTTAGGAATCTCTTAGACTCCGCTGACCAACAGCTCAGAGGTTTCTCATATCTCATATCATATGGGGTTTTGTTAGTCTATGTCTCATGAGGAAGCATTATCACGCCATGTAACAAAATAGAGGAATTGTATGATATGATGGCATTAGAGTAACTTTAATTTCTAGAGCTGCAAAACAATTTTTAGATACTTTGTATTACTTAAAGATAAGATAGTTTTGTGGTTTTAGATCTTCGTAGGGAAGATGATAACTAGGCAAAAAGCTTTTGATCAAGTTACATGTATGTGTAATGACTTCATCCTCCTGACTGTAATAGGATTTCCGGGGTGCCGTGGCACGTGCATCCAGGCAGCTTGGGAAGCCTGTGATTGAGGACCGCATCCTTAACCAGATCTTGTACTACCTGCCCCAGCTGTATGAGCTAAACCGGGATCTCCTGAAGGAACTGGAGGAAAGAATGCTGAGCTGGTAAAACAGGGGCCATTGCAGGCTTCCCCAGAGCATATGGTTTTAAATGAAACTAGAGACTCTGCCAGGGAGACGGGGAGTGCTGTCCCTTACACAGAGTTGTCTCAGTATGTTGAAGGTTTGGCAGTTATCTGTAGATTGAATATTTTGGATGGCCATATCTTAGCACACTGGATTTAAATACATGTCTTTTAAAAAGTTCTTTAATAATGCTTGTTCAGACCCAAACTCCGCCATTTCAGCTATTTCCTTTTTCTCTCTCTCTCTTTCTCTTTTATTTTTTCTTTTTGAGGCAGCGATTTGCTTCCTGATACAGTCCAGCCTGTAATTTTTTAAAAAGTTATAGTAAAAATAAAGTACCATCACCAAAATAATTCCTGCACATATTTTGTCTTTTTTCTTTACAGAATTTTTACCCTGAATTAACTTTACAACTTAACTGTAGACAAGTTTTTATAAGTAATATAAAGATGTTTAAATATTTTTGCTTGTAATAAAGGCTTCCTCAAGTTTTGGATCTGTAGGTAGTGTGTGTTAGAATAGTAATCATTCCTAAGAACCAAACTAAATTAATGAAAGAGACAACTCTTTAATTATAGAAAAAGTTTTCCTTATTGCTAATGGAATAGTTCATTGCATAAGGTATTTTCTATTAAAATACTCTTTTCACAGGGCATGGTCGAGCAGGCTTGCAGACCCAGATAGTTGGGAAGCTGAGGCTAGAGAACCACAAGCTCATTGAGTCATACAGGCAGCTCAATGAGTCTTTGTCTCAAAAGAAAGAGTGAAAGACAAGCTGGCAAGATAGTTCAGGGGAGAAAGGTGCTGCCCCCAAACGTGATGACCTGCCTGAGTTTGACCCTCAGAACCAGCATGGTGAAAGGAGAGAACCATTTCCCAAAAATTTTCCTCCAACCTCGCATTCATGCCCCACTCCTCAAAATAAATAAGTAAATCAATCTGCAAATATTTCTAAAGTGAAAAGAGGGCTACGTTTTCAGCATAATGGTTTGCCTACCATACAAGAAGTTCTGGGCTGAAATATATAAATTTGTGTAGAACAATTATAGCACCAAATACTCTGTATATACATTGAAATGTACATGTTTGTCCTAGTAAGACTAATTTAAGTGCTCACGATGTTAAGGGAATTACGATATTTTTAATTTGTGATTTCAATTTCAGACCAGATAGAGAGGGGCCAGTCTTTATCTATAAGATAAAAGTTTGAAATTCTAGGTTAGGACCATTTCTTGGTGGCACTGAGATGGTTGAGCTGGTGTGCAATATCTTTTGCCAAGGTAACTTGGAAACAGAGCCCACCTTGTTGGTCTGGAAAGCCTTGGCACCTTACCACTATGTGGCACTTCCACTTTGCTGGCCTGAAGGACAGACTTAGCCAGAAGTGACTCTTCAACTTGATCTCCAGGCCATAGATCACGTTGTGCCCCCTAAGAATGGCCCATGGCCACTGGTGCCCCTTGATCTATCCACTGCCTCTTGGCAGTTCAGTTTCATTGAGGTAGAGCCATGAAAAACAATAGATACTTATAGCTGAGGTCAAGGAATCCACATCCTTTTTGTTGCTACCACCTCATGTGACAGTAGCAGCATGCCTGCCTTCTTGGTTATCTGACTTTTTAAAAAATAAGTTATTATATTGGATTTTTTAAAGGTGTCTCCCTTTGTAGCTGTCATGGCTTGGGATCCACTATATAGTACAGACTGATCATTTCTTTTTTTCTTCTCTCTCTCTCTCTCTCTCTCTCTCTCTCTCTCCTGTAAAGGGTTTCTCTTTGGCTGTCCTGGACTCGCTTTGTAGACCAGGCTGGCCTTGAGCTCACAGAGATCCACCTGCCTCTGCCTCCTGGGATTAAAGATGTATAGGCTGATCTTGAACTCATGGTAATCCTTCACTCTCACCCTTCAGAGTACTACAATTACAAGAGTTAACCACCATGCAGCTATTTTATTTTCCAAGGTTTGATTATCTTCTGTGCTAGTTGATAATCTACATATGACACATCACACAATATTAAAAGGTCTTACTTTCATGAAACAGACATTTTAGTGGGGAGAAGACAAGGTGACTAGACAAGAAAAATCAGAAAAAGATTCTGATTTGTAGAGACTGGAAAGATGCTGGGGTCCTTAATGAAGATTAGAAGGTTCTATAAGAGGGTAGAACATGGGCTAGAAATACAGTCAGTAGTAAAGTGCTTGCCTAGCACATGTTCAGTCCTCCCTGCCCCCAAATAAGTGGAACATGTAAATTGATGCGGGAATATGGGAATGGGGAACTTGCAGTCTCCGTATTTCCAGGCATGTGGAACCATTAGTAGAAGGGTACAAAGAGGGAATGGACTCTAGTATCATCAAAGATCATGAAGAAGCTATACAGAGCAGGAAAATGGAGGAGAACCATGGTTTGGGTGCCTGGAATTTGTTTTTTATTCTAAGTGAAATAGAAGGTCTGGCTGTCATCTAGCACTCAGTTGTAATCAACAGAAGGAGAGAAGCTGAAGCAGGAGCATCATGAGTTCAAGACCATTTCACTACACACATACTTGCATACATACATACTTACATACATACATACATAGGTATATACATATGCATGCATACATATATATACACACATACATACATATATAGGTACGTACATACACACAAATACATAGTGGAAAGAAGGCATCATTGAAAGTCACATAATAGAATGTACATCTTTTTAGACTCTTGCTATCCTGAAGAATGGAATAGAGAGGACCAGAATGTGTAGAGGGAGGCCAGTCAGAGCTGGTAGAGTCTGGGCAAGCTGTGTTTATGGGCGGGGCAATTGTGAAGAGGAACGCATCCGAGGATATGTTTTGAAGAGGGGGAGGGGTAAGCTGCTGACTGTGCCTGGACACATTAGTGGCTGCTTTTACGTTTTTGTGTATCTCTCCATAGGACTGAACAACAAAGAATTGCTGATATCTTTGTCAAGAAGGGGCCATATTTAAAAATGTATTCCACATACATCAAGGAATTTGATAAGAACATAGCTTTGCTGGATGAGCAGTGCAAGAAAAATCCAGGATTTGCTGCTGTTGTTAGAGAATTTGAGGTATCTGCTACCACGTTATACATTGAGCTTTTTTTCTTGTTTTCTTGTGCCTTAATCTTTTACAGTCATTGAAAACAAAACGTTTGAGTAAAAAAAAAAAAAAATGTATTTAAATATAATCTCTTTGCCTTGGCTGTGGTGGAACACACCTTTAATCCTTGCACTCAGGAGGGAGAGGCAAGTGAATCTCTGTGAGCTCAAGGCCAGCCTGGTCTACAGAGTGAGTCCAAGACAGTCAAGGCTACACAGAGAAACCCTGTCTCAAAAACAAAAATAACTGTTACTGCACATTGTACTGTTTTAATTGGGTAAAGAATATTTGGGTGAGAGTTAGTTAGCTGATTAATTTGTTTGAAACAAGGTTTCACTGTAGTCAAGCTGGCCTTGAAGGACCAGCTCTCAGGTCCCATCTCCTGGGGACAGTGGCTCATACCTGTGCTACCAGCACTTGGGAAGCTGAGGCAGAAAGATAAGGAATTCAGGGTCATTCTCAGCTACATAGTGATTTCCAGGCCAGCCTGGACTACATGAATCCCTGTCTAAAACACAAAACAAGGACTGGATGGCTCAGAGGGTAAGAGCCCCTGCTGCCAGTCGCTAGCATCTGAGTTCAGTCTCCGGGACCCCACATGTGGAATGAGAGAACTGACTCCTGGAAGTTGTCTTCTGACTTCAACATGCAGGCTATGGCATGTGTGCGCCCAACACCAAACACATATGCAGACATGTGTGCGTGTAAGTTTGCACAGGTGTGCACACACTAAACTAATGAATAAACAAATAAGTAATCTTATTTTTTAAAGCCTGTGGTAAAATGCACACACTATAGACTTATGAGCTTAGCCATTTTAAGTGTGTAATTCTGTAATATGAAGTATGTAGACAGTGTTGTGCAACCATTCTTCAAAACTGTATTTAGTTTTGCAAAATTGAGATTCTGTGGCCATTAAGCATTAACTTGTCCTTCTTCCCCACCCTGGTCACCCCTATTCTGTTGTCTGCCTTGATGAATTTGAATACGAAGAGAATATTTCTTGTTTTCAACCTAATATTTTCTTCCATTTGTCTGATAACTTCACATACAGTAATGGAAAGGAATATAATTTTTGTTAGATAAGTAAACAAATACAGTTTTAGCATCAAAGTTAAAAGCTTTATCTTTGCTTTATGTGTGTAAAGCTTTGTGTTTTGGCGGTAAGTTTGGAAAGTTTAGAGGTGCAAACTTGATTTGATTGGGGTAAAATGATACTGTACATTGTAAACCAGACTTGCCTCAAATTTGTTATGCCATCAGGCTTTTCTTGAACCCTGGTCCACCTGCCTCTACCTCCTGAGCACTTTATTACATACTTTTTTAACAGTCAGTTTACTCTTACTCTGTTTTGAAACTAAAAGTGGTCAGTTAATTCTAGTTATACAAAATAAGAAGTGAAAAGTTTCAAAAATATTATAGTATTGCTAATCTCTAGTTTATATTGATTTGTGAGACAAATAATTGTACTTTAAAAGTAATTTGTAGTCTCTGCTGCTTTTTCTCTCCTCCACTATCTTTATGCTATCCAAAAAAAGGAGACGTTACTGGGTATCATGGCATATCCTATAATCCTAACACCCAGAAAGTTGAGATAATAGCATAGAGAGCTCAGTGCCAGCCTGAGAGATCTCTCAGTTTGAGAGAGATCTCTCTCAAAAAGCATTGCAAGGGCACAGGTACATGCTCATTTTGATTTTACCACACAGTAATCTCTTGGACTGGATGGCAATCAGGAATAAACTGAGATAACTATTTTACGTGTTAAGTAAAAAGTTTTAAGGAGAATCACATGGATTTATGGCCAAGTCAGAATCTTGCAAGGCTCATGACGGGCCTCAGGCATACCACATGTGCTTGGAATTTTCAACGCCCTGGGTTCTATTCCCAGCACATCTTGTGCCCCAAAGAAACATTATACAGTTAGGTGTGTGCACTCTGATTACGGCTGTCTTTTTTAGGACTTCTCATCTAAAAATGTTTTTGCTTTCTTTATTCTTCTAAGAGAAGGGTCACTTAGTTAGAAAGGCTACTCTTTCCTTTAATTTCTGCAACTCTCCCTAGTACCCTGATACTCTGAGTAAGAATATTGACCACCGGGCTCTGATTTTTGTTTGATAGTCTTAGATCTGCTTCTTTATTTTAGAGGCCATGTTTTTCCTTCTGGTTTCCTTGGGGTTTGTAGTTAGGACTGTCCCCTGAGTGGAAGCTGGGACCTTCCCAGGAGGGAATGTAGTTGTGGCACCATACTCGGTGAGAGGGTTGTGAACCAGAGCTCTCAGGGGCAGCTGCTCAGACACTGATTGGTGAGGTGGGTTTGATGGCTCCAGTCAGTTTCCCATGCTGTGTAGTCACTGTGTCTCACAGAAGGAAGCGCCTCTGAATTCTCTACCCAAGTTTACTTTCAATGCTTTTTTTTCCCCCTTAGATGAGTCCTCGATGTGCCAACCTGGCCCTGAAGCACTACCTGCTAAAGCCAGTTCAGAGGATCCCTCAGTACAGACTGCTGCTAACAGGTGCGGTCTCCAAACCTTACCAGCCTAGTGACCCTAAGTGGCCTTATTTAACACTGCTTTTCCTAAGCATGTTGTCTTAGTTAGGGTTCTAGTGCTGTGAAGAGACACTATGACCAAGGCAACTCTTATGAAGGAAAACATTTAAAAGGGACTGGCTTACAGTTTCAGAGGTTTAGTCCATTATCGTTATGGCGGGAAACATAATGGTGTGTAGGCAGACATGGTACTGGAGAAGGAGCCAAGAATTCCACACCGACTCCAGCCAGGCCACACCTCCTAACAGTGCCAGTCCCTATGGACAAGCATCCAAGCACATGAGTCACTGGGAGAAAACTTATTCAAACCACCACACATGCCCTCTCCACCTCTCCATTGACCACTGCTGAGTAGATGAATTACATCATTGGAACTGAACCACTTTTGGTTCTTTGAACAACCAGTGTCCGCTCTCCCCTCAGGGCATTGATGTAAGTTGTGCCCTTTGTTCTGAACACTGTTTCCTCATATCAGTCCTCATCCTTGTCCCATTTTACCTGAATATTACTCCCAAGGAGGTAATCTCAACCACTTGGGGGTCCATATGTTCGCATAGCACTGTGTTGGTGACTCTAATTACATTCCTCTGTTGTTAGAAGGATTGATTAATGAACTAAATTATGTGCATGATCATTAGAATAATTCTTTGGACATAGTAAGTTCTAATAATATTAACTCTTTTTAGCAATCATAACAGCCCTACTGTTATTATTTGGGTATTCTGACCATCATTTGCAAGATGCTAGACCTCCCAGGCTGGTTTACAAGAGAATGTGAGGTATGATTTGGATGGAATCACAGTTACTTGGGTACTTTTGTTCCCTAGCTCTTTGAAACTTATCATAGTAACAAGTAACATGATATTATTTTTTCCTCGATGAAATAACAGGCTTATAAAGATTAAGTGGTTTGACGTCATAACAAAAGCTAATATACATCATGTCAGTGCCAAGTGTACAATCTGATACGCGCTGTAAAGTCTGCAAAGATTTGCTGAAGTGTATTTGGGAGGTGGTGTGAGAGAATTATATATATAATTGCACTACACTTTGTATCAAAGTGGATAAGAACATTGAAAGGTCACCACAGCTCAATACATGCTCAGTAGATACATGTGGTTTGATGTAAATAGAATTTGCCAAGATTAATAGAGGAGTGTAGGAATCCTGGAATAGCAGCATTCTCCAGTTCCCTTGAGGCAGAAGCTTCAGGCCTTCTCAGCTTGGTAGTGACAAGAATGGATGGGAGGGCCTTTTCTTTCGCCCTGTGACCTCAAAGCCAAGGTGTGTCCAGAGCTTAATTTGAATTTCTAACTGCAGATCAGGCACTAGACTTCTCTCTGGAATGACATAAAGCCAAGCAAATAATTTGAGGATATCCTGCCCATCTGCATTTGCTTTCCTCTGCTTCTGGCTGAGATTATTAATTCACGGGACAAGAGGAAATACTGACAGTGTTTTTGCTAGATAAGTCTAAAGCTTTGTCATAACCAGCTACCGAATGGCACTGGCTGTTTCCATAGCTGTGAAATGAGGACTCTCTTTAGTAGCCAAAGACAGATGTGGCTTCAGGTGTGAAAAAGGGAAGATCCTGTTACTGAAAATGAAATGTAAAAGATACCTCTCTCCCCTGTGCTATGGCTGGTCTACATAATAAGAAGCTGCCTATGTTTAATTTATATATTACATGCTAAATTGTTTTTGGTGCAGAAATAAGAAAAACAAGTTTTTAAAACCGTATGTGTATCTTCCTTTTTTTTTTTGGAAGACAAAGTTTGATTGTTTCAAGTTTCATTGAGGCAACAAGGCTTGCATCAAACTACTTATAACTGCCTCAGCCCCTTGAATGCTGGGATTATAGGCATGCACCAGCATACCTGGCTTTTACATTTCTTTTCATTACATTTACTTATTTGTTTGTTATGTGAGGTGTGTGTATATGTGTGCCATAACATACATGTGAAGGTCAGAGGACAACTTGCAAGAATCCATTTTCTCCTCAGCACGTGGGTCATGTGGCTTGAACTCAGGTCATCAAGCCCAGCAGCAAGTGCTTTTATCAACACAGCTTTCTCACAAACCATTGCCTGGCTTTTGAAAATTTCTCTCTCTTTTTAAATTATTTCTTGAAATTTTGAGATAGCAATTTCATCATTTCCCCCCTCTCTTTCCTTCCTCTAAACCTTCCTATATACCCTGCTTTGCTTTCTTCCAAACTCCTGGCCTCTTTCTTGTTAATTAAAGTCTGTTTCTAAGAAAACAGATTTGGGGCTGTGGGTGTGGCTGAGTTTGTAGAGGGCTTGCCTAGTGTGCCTGAAGCTGTGGGTTTAATCTCTAGCAATGTATTAACTAGGCTGTGTCTGTAATCAAAGCAAACAGATTTGTTGTTATTGCTTTATAATACCAACACCATGTGAGATTGAACGTTTAAGTCCTTCCTTCCTTCCTTCCTTCCTTCCTTCCTTCCTTCCTTCCTTCC